CATGGAATAGTACACATTGCATATGACTCCAGTAAACTGCAGAATCCTGGACCATCTCCCTTTAAGATAATTTTTGTCCGCATATTTTCAAAATATTTTAAACAATAGTGCCTGGCTGAGATAGGTACTCCCTTCCCTGGAGTTTCTTCATAGGTTTGAGGAACTAGAGTTGTACTTTGGAGGAAGAACAACTCAAGCTAGGATTTAAAATGGAAATACATGCCTAACTATTGATCAGAAAGGAATTAAACCACACCTACTGTTCTTTTGGATAGACAAAATTTCTACCATTATTGCTTCTTTGGGAGATCCTCCTCATAACACCTCTATTTGAAGGCTAATGCTAAAGGACTACATTTAAAATGGTAGTGCTATAGTTCCAAGAGTTATGCTACAGAAAGCTTCAGAAGTGAAGTATACTGTACCCAATCTCAGTTACGGAGCTACCCAGTAATTCTATACCAAAATTCTAAGAGACTCCAGATTTATTGATGGTCTAGTTAACCAGAGCAACAAATGGCTGAAAAACAAAGGGTATGCAATATGTACAGATTAAGGTAAGGTGCTAACAGCTGTACTCTGAAATGAGCCAAGTACATTGTACACTTAAAAAGGGGGATCAATACTAAATGGTCAGCAAATGCATAAGATGCCTTCTTTAACTGAAGTATTTCTTCAGTTATTGGAAGTGAAGATTATAATAGGAAAAGGTGGGAAAGAGATGGATATTGCAGCAGTGTTTGCAACTACTTTAGTTCTGAATTTAAACTATACTCAAAAATTACCTTATTTTCAGTGAAGGAAAAGCTAGGAAATGGAGCAGCAAAAATATGTTGCAATGGTTTCTAAGAGAGAAAAGATCTCCATTTCTCTGTAGAATGGTTATTTGCACCGTTATAACTACATTCACATTTCCATTCCTGCATTTCTGGAGAGCTGACGTTTTCCTGGTGTACAGTAGGAATTGTGGGGAAGGTTAGCAAATAATCACAGAGGAATACACCAATGAAATGAGGTGAGTCTGTTATATGGTAGATCTTATGTTGGGTTGAGGGCTCTCGACTCCCAGTGAGCATCTGGTCTGCTCCCCATCACTACTGGGCTTTGGAAAAAAACAGAGGAGGGCATTACTTCATAATCCCTCGGGATGGAGACTGATTAAGTAGGAGCTTAATTTCCTTTATACAAAGGGTAGCTTAATCGTTGTTCTGATGACTCTACTCTGACAGCTGCATGCTCCATTGATTCATATTTTACTTGTATTCTTTGGCAGAAAGAATTTGATACTCAATTTTGAGTTGAGTCTATAGTTTGGAAAAAGAGTACTGAGCTAAGTCTGATGATTTTGTTCAGCTAGAGATTCATTAGTGTCAGGGGCCCTGTGATGTACACACCTGTCCTCTAAAGCTGTAACTCTGCTCTCAAATTCAATAACTGCATAATTCACGAAAAGCCACTAATACAAGTATCGATGGAGAGGATTTCTCCTTTGGTGACATACAAATTAAGGTATCTTATTAAAAATCATGCCACTGTGTATCCCTGTGTAGCACTGGGAATGTCAAAAGACTGATAGATGTAGCTTTTTCCATATTTTCTGTTGAATTTTGAAAGATATTTAATTCAGTTCTTGTATACAAACTGTATCAGGAAGAAAAAAGTAGGGAAGAGGACTGGCCTGTGTTTATTGACACAGTGCTATGATGAGATATAGCCTGTCAATGTTAGGTGCATACTTATGTGGCCATTCCGATGACATGCACATGAAAAGAATGATTTTTCACATGAGGTAATCACCTTGAATTATTCAAAGTGCAGCTTCTTCCTTCCATATCTATCATATATTACTGCTGGGTCAGATAAGTCGGTGTTAGATGGTGGTGACATATTTCAGTCCAAAGTGGGCTTTTAAAGATGAATTATAAACCCCTAAAAATAAAATAGGAGTTTATCATGGGACCTTCAACTACAGAAGCACTAGTAAGCATAATTAATACTGAGCTCCAGAATGGGCAATCTGCTGCAGTCCTCCACTGGAGAAGGAACATTACATGAATTAGAGTGCCTCATGTAATGAAGAGAAAGAGATCTATTATTACCATAAACTCTTTCTGGTTCCATTATCTTCACCTCCAAATCTGTATCAACTACTGTAGTGGTATCTATGGAAGGAATATGATAGTTGCCTCAGGAATTCTGAAATAAATACAATCTGTGCTAAAGCTACAATATGTAGCGAGATACCAGCCTTTAGTTAACGGTCAAAAAAGATACAAGCACCAGAAATTAATGAAAGGTTAACATCAAGGATGAAATTGGGATAATTCTACCTGTGCTATAGCTTTATGGAGGGATAAAATTGGACTGGCCTTGCCACTCAAGCTACAAGGACCCTGATTAGACAAGCTGAGAGCAGGTAACAGGAGAAGAGCTCTTAAGATCAGACTGAATCATAGCTCTGGAGAAAACACGTTTAACAGTGAAGAACTCGGTACAGCAGGATTTATAAAAGAGGAGCATCTTTTGTTTGGCAACAGCAAAACACTGAATGTCAAACCTACCTTGATCCTCAACCATGGATTCCTGAACAGTGGATTCCACTCATACTTCGACGCATAAAAACACAGCTCTGAGTTTTTCACACCCCTTGCATTATTCTTATATTCATATCTATAGATCTTGTGTACTGCCACATATATTAGTCACAAAAGACAGAAGCAGCATTTTGCTGTGTTTCTAAATAGAAGCACAACTAAAGTTTACTGCCGATGGTATTTAAGCCAATAGTAGATCTTTAGTACCATTCACAAATATCTGCACAGGCTAATTGAAATATCTGTCTAAAATGTGGGTAATTTTTCTTTGAAATAAAGCATACACAAAATATGAAAAATTTATTTTTAAACATGCCTACGTCTTATTCCTCTTTTCTTCTAAATTGTCTTTAAAAATTAAGCATGGAGAGAGGGAATAGTAAATCTTACTATTTGTAAAAAATGATAATACAAAAAATGTTTTAATTTCTTTTTTAAGAAGATCCCCACCAGCCTGTTCTTGTTTCTTCGGCAATCTCCACACTAGGGCATGTGGTGCAGCTGTCCCTCACTTTCACATATTTGTCTATTTTAAGCGTCCTTCATCCTTTTTTTTCAGTTCTCATTTATACTTTCCCTGGCCACAAAACACCAGGATTCTCTCCACTGCACCATATAAAATGATATAGCTTTCTTTGTGTGTAGGGTTTTTTTGCTGCAGTTGATAGCTATGGGTCTTAACTTAAGTACAAGTTGTTTCACTACGCTTTCATAGTAGAGAAGGGGCAAGGTTTACAGGGAGAGGGCATATCTTTTACTAGAACAGCTGGAAAAAGTGTATGGATTTTCAAAAATACAATTCTCAAATGTAATGTAATTGAAGAAAATTTCCTTAGATCATTACAGCTGCAACAACATTAAAACTGCAAAAATGCAAACATCAAAGTACAAGAATATGCATAAAGAACAAAGAATCTGAATCAAGTATCTTATTTTTGAAGGACGTCTTTTATATTTATGTTATACTCATTGACAGGAAAGTGTACCTAAAAGCTTATTTATTTTTCCAGACATCCCAGTTGCTTTTAGTAAAAAAAATTTTCCTTTAGTACTTATACTATGCCTTGCTTTTATCCATCGTGGCTGTAACAATGCTACTAATTTTGAATATAGCCTTCACCTTGACTGAGCTTCATGCCATTGTTCCTCCTGTTTTCTATATTCTATATCTCTTACTGTACCAGTAACTTTGTAATGTGTTATTGCTATTTCATCTTGCTAAAGCATCTACGTTTTTTTCCTTTCTTTAAGCCACCCAGCACTTGAATGTATAAAGGCTGAAGCTTGAATTTTGGTACAGTTTAGTACAGTGTCCTTTTATCAGACAAGCATAACCTAGCTATAGGCATATGCAACTATATTATTGCTGTAATAATTCCTTTTTATCCAAAATATAGTGAAATATCTGCAGGTCACTGCAAGAGACTGAATGCCAAAGGGTGATTTTGAACATTTAAACATCTTGAAATGTTTAAAAGCTCCATTCAGCAGTCTTGCTCATATTGCACCTCAGAGAAGAGGAACTGGGGACAGAGCTTTCTTATTTTAGATCTATTTTACCTCCTAAAATGTCTTGATTAATGTCTTGTCTCCTAAAAGTTTGATTAAAAAAAAAAGGAAAAGAAGCCTCAAGCTTATTATTCTGCTTGTGCTATGTTAGGATGCCTTATTGTGGGCCTTAGAAACAAACAAGGAAGACAAGGCAGATGCATGTTCTGTTCTATCTGCCATTTCATCTCAAAGTGAAACAACTCCAGGTGAAGCAGTAACTTCTCTTCTCTGCAGATAACATGATCTCAGCCAGTGCAAAACTTCTGTACTGGCCAGAGATTTCATCTGTCTCCGGAGTTTTAATAAGACGGTCACCAGGTCCCTAGAACTGCCACTCTGCAACACCTCTGTTCACATCAGCAGCAAATCGAGTTTGTGCAAAGCCTGCTGGGGATACCACACTGAGAGAGGTGACGCTCCATCATAAGACAGGTTAGCCAAAAACTGTTCTGCTTCCAGAACAGGTTCTACAAGTCTCCTCTCCTATACAAAATGTCTTTTCACCGGTTTTTAAAAACAGTTTAAGTCTGTGTTGAACGATAAGAGCATTTATTAAATTGCCGCACTGGAAACTTAAAAATCTCTTTTCCTTGATGAGATACATGAAGTGAGCGGTCATGCCCTGTTACTGTCGGCCAGATGAGATCTGCATGAGTGAGGCTGGAAATGGCAGGAGCAGCTATACTGGCTCATTTGCCTCTGTGAAACAACAGACATTACTCCCCTGGCCATTACCTCCTTCTCAGAGGCAGTACAAAAACGTAGGCAACAAAAATACTTATGGAATGAGGAACCAGCCAGCAGAACGGGAAGCGAGAATACAAGCTCGTAGTACAAGGAGGGCTGAGACGAGAGATGTCTCAAGGCTCCTTCCAAACTGAATGCTGCAATGAGTCAATGACAGCTCTACACGTGCGGATCCGTAGTGGGAATGCTGCAGCACCAATGGGACCCGGGCAGGCTGGACTGACTGCGCAGATGAAGCTGTTAAAGCAGATGGAGTCCTATCCCTACCACAATTATCGGGACGGTAGTGAGATTGCCCACACAGGTAAAAAGGAGACTGTCGTGGCACGGGAAATTGAGTATTCAACATGCGCTGTATGTATACAAGGCATTTCACCCCTAGAAGCAACAGAATACACAATTTTCCACTTAGAAACACTCATTTAATATCATCTGTGATCTTGGAGAGATTCTGCCCTTTGCTCTCCTGCCTGAGTCTGAGAGGGACTGGACTGGCCGACCACCCGCTGCACCTCGGCCACGCGGCCGCTTGTTGCTGATGAGTTTATGGATGTTACTACTCCACGGACCCACCTGTGGACCGTTTTCCTATTATCTACTGCTTTCCCCAACATTTTTTTTGCTGAAGCTACTGGTACCTTTTTATTTGATGTCATGTTTATATTTCTTGACACATTTTTCAACCTCTGGCTACTGTTCCATTTTCCCCATCTAACCCATTCTCTCCTCCACCAACAGATGTGTTAGTTAGCATTTACTTTCCTTCCATATTTCCCCCCTCCAAAATATTTTTGTTATTTTTTATCAGTTAAAGCTTGTTTAGCTTGCTTTCAAGGAATTTCTCTTTTTCTTCCACCTTTTCTCAGTAATTTTTCAATCACATCAGGATGTCACAAAGGCAGTTACATAGAAGGGTTACAAACGTAAGGAAGCTGTTTAACTTGTCACCCTTCTGAAAGCATACCACCACCTGTGAGAACATATTGTGTAGACCATATATGGCTGCAATACTGTTCAAATTTTATCATATTGCAGGTAAGATACCGTAGGCCACAGCCTTGACTAGACCATTCATAATGAAATGTGACAGAGGAGATGGAGAACCCTGTCATCCTTGTATTCTATATTACGCATTGTCATCCTGTCAAGTCAAATCTAATATAAATGAATCACATCAATCAGAAAATGTGAATTTCTGTTTGACAAGCTAAAGGAGCATAACATCTTCAATTAGACTAGCTACCTAAAATTAGCTACTGACACAAGCAAATATACATGGTCAATTTGCCTGCCTGAAACTGAAAATCAAGTAAGACATATTAGATAATAGATAGCCCCAGAGTGAATGCAAGGCTGTAACTCATCCAATGGGCCATGCTGACGTCACATGAAACCAAAATTAATTCAGCTATATATTCAGTTTGGGGTCATCTGCTGGTGTATGATTTATAGTACATATTTTAACCTTAAATGCTTCAGGCTTTGTTCATCAATAATTCAGTTCTTTGGTTAGAAAAGATGGTAGAAGCTGAGCTCCATCTTGCAGGTGTATTCTTAAATCTTGTGCTGCTCTGGGATCCCAGCTATGAAAAAAAGATAGCAGGCTGGATAGACCTTCTGTTTTTGTTGGTTCGGTGCACAGTAGAAACGTATTTTCCACAAGTTTATTAGGATGAAATAAATGGAGGAAAGAGGAATAGGGAGAATATACACATGAGCAAGGGCACAAGAGGCTTGAGTGTAGAAGATAAGGATGGATGGTTTCTAGATGCACTCACCCTGAAGCTGAGGCTAGGAATTGCTGAGAACCTCCCAAGGCAGGGTGCTAGCTCATGATTGCCCTGTGGCTGCCAAGTATTCTTCAGAGCCCTGTCCTTGGAGAGCTGTGGGTATGTGTTCCCTTTTCAAATGGACAATACAAGACCAGTGCTTGGCACCCTGTGCTCCACAGGTATCAGTGTTTAGACTATCATTACCCAATTACTGACCTAGAGATGTGTAAATCTGCTTCTCAAGGCTATGTTAACTCTTGCTATCAGTGTGGCAGAAAGAAATTAAACACACAGTAAACTCTTAGCAACAATTATCAGATATTTCTAACCTTTTCCACAGGGAGCCAGAGCTAAATTCAGAGGATAGATGAATTGCTTTTCTTACCACTTGCCTTCTGGATCTTCAGAAACTAAAACAAAATATATGAGGCTAAAAATCTGTAATATTTTCAGGTTTGGAAAAAATCTATCTTCCTTCCATAAAGACCAGAACTATAATAATTATAGAAATAATAATTATAGAAATAATAAATATCAATTACAAACCAAATTATACTCCAGCACTCACAACATCAGCTTCCTTTAGGCTTGTGCAGCCATGATTGTGTCTGATCGACACAGAAAGCTCTGTACCACAGCTAAATAAGTACCTGCTCTCTCCTTCTTCCAGCTCTTTCTTTCCAGGGTTCTTTTCCTTCTCTTTCACATATTCCTAGTGGCTCACTGTTTTTCATGTATTTTTTCTCTTTCTGAGAGTAAATTCCTCCAAACTGCCACAATCACTTTGATCTAGTATAGGCTACTTACATTTCCAGTAACAGCTCAAACTCCTTGATTAACCTAAAACTCAATTAGTCTGGCAGCTTAAGCACTTCTAGAGAAATCTGCTTCCAATAGAGGAGAATAAGCGGAATAAATACATATAGATTTTGAGACCTGAAGAGACCACAATGATCATGTAGTTTGACCTGCTGCACAATGTGAAACATCTTCTACTGATTGCTGCATCAGGTACTTTATCAAGCTTTAAATCTCTCACTGTAGTCATGTGTTATAAAGAGTTTTCTCTCTAGTTAGCTCTTCTAGTATGTCAACACCTCTCCTTACTGTGTGAATAGCTACTCATCTTCACTTTAAAAGGGAGGTTGATAACTATCACAACTTGTCCTTTGACTTTTCCAGAATGGTCCTGCTAGGAAAGAAAAATGGCCACAGGCAAAGATTAAATACTTTGGGCACAAGGTGGGCAGGCAAAACATTGCTTTCCTTATTGTAATTGGATAAAGACGAAAGAGAACAGATGAATCAAGAGGCAGAAGTTCAATACATGATGAGACATCACATGTGTATTGGGCAGATGAACATCCCTTTCAAATGCCTGGCTGCACCTACCATAATACAGAAATACAAGATTTTGGTCACATAACAGGGTAGAGGACATCAGGAAGTAACTTCAGATGCCAGAAATAACTCATTAAGCCACCTCTGTCCATTCCAATACAATGTTGAAGGTACACCTGGAGAACAGAGCATCAGACCAGTTGTACGACAGACAAGTTGTTCTGGAATTCACCCATTCTGCAGGCTGCAGACCAGTCTGAAGAACTGTTTCAGGGCTCAGGCACATGAATGACTTGCAGTAGCCCCCCATGAAATTTTCCAGATTGAGTTCATCATGCTTATCCCAGGACAGCAGTCTAGGATGAGATGAATGACGGCAAGGGTGCCTCTCTCTGCACTGACTCTCTCTGAAGGGAGCCTAAATTACTTTGATAAAGTCTGCCATTTATTTGAGATGAATTTCACCTCCTGCTCACATGAGATGTGAGCTCATCCCTGTTGCACTGCTCAACTTAAGTATCAGAGGTTTGTGCTGAATAGAGGAAGGGTATCGTGCAGTTACTTTGACCCAGGTGATGAGTAGTAATACAGTAGGAAGCTACAATCAAGACTGTCAGATCCTTACAAAATGGAGTTCTTACAACCCTTTGAGAAGAATTTGGACCTTTGTCTGCCATGTCATCTTTGCTTTGAGAGCAGCAGTTCTTTATAGATAGCACTTTCAGCCATAATTGATTTGAACAGTGTACTAGCAAAATACATAATGAAGAGCTGCAAAACTATATTTGTGATCTAAAACAAGAAAAAGACCTCTACTAACAACATCACTTATCCTTTTCTTGGCAGGGCTATGCAGTATCTTTGGAAAGCTCCAGAAAATATCGCAGCTATGGGAAGAACATGACCCAGCTTGGATCCCATTGATAAATCATTCAGTGGGGTTCAGAGGAGACTGAAAATCTCACTGGGAAGTTTGCTTTAATCATGGGGAATATTTTTTTTCATGTACTTGACTGAGAAACAAAGACTAATTGTATACATAAAAAAGGAGTGTTATCATTTTCCATTTCAGTATCTTTACAGTTTTTAATCAAATACCTCCAGCATCTTTTGTCAGTTTTGCTTATGGTTTTTAACAAGTTAATTGAAAACAGAAACAAGCTTAAACAATGTTTTTACTCCTTTAGACTTTATCTTTTGTACTTTCTTCTCTCTGTATTTCTCGTAAGGATAGTACTACTATTATGAACTTATTTCTAGGGCTTCCTTGGCAGACTGCTCCCCTCTTAGTTTCACTTAAGTTACAAGAAACCCTATGTGGAAGTGTGGAAGGAAGTGCCAGAAAGCTAACACAATTTATTTGAATTACGTGTGAATGATGCCATTTACTTGTGAATTATATAGCAGCTCTTGTGAAGAGTAGGCTGCTCAGGAGTTCACTGCTGTATTCCATTCTACCACAAAAAATCAGTTCCAGCCAAAACTCTGGGACATTGTCCAGAATCTTAATTACCTGCGTTATTAGCAACTAAAAGGGATTTCTACTGGTTTTATATTAATTTCTATAAGTAGCAGAAGAACTTTGTCATGCCTATTTTCTGACTGATGATGTAATAGCCAGCCACAAACATCTGCAACTCTATGCTGTTTGCATCTGTCAAATGATTGCACCTAGTTGCATTTACATACTTTTCTGAAAATGGGATAATAGATATGGTAATGTAAATAGGATGCTTTACAAGTTTTCTTGCACTCTTCACACACCCATTTTATATTTCATTAAAAGAAAACAGACATCATTGTTGTTGTAATGTGAGTTCCTAGTTTTGATTTTCATATTTCTTAGACTGATAGTGCAATTAAAATTACATTAAGAAAAGGAACAGTTAACATGAATCAAGGCCAAACGATGTTTGGGGCTCGGTTGTTTGATTGTTGTTATACATAGAAAGGAGAGGATATTGTCTATACAATAATTCATGCTATTATTAGCATGGATCATTAAAACATACATTCATCACACAATCTTCTCAACCTTCACTTACATCAACAAAAAGAATTCCCCACACCAAAGTCAAAATAACATCATCACAACACAAAGGTGGTGTTGTGAAGGTATTATTGGTTTTTTGGCAAGTTGACTTCTCCATGACAGGAAAGTCAAAGATCTTCATAAGCTAGCAAATGATGAGAAAATGAACACTGGGCAATGGGTCTGTAGAGTATCACACTAAACAATAA